GAACTTCAGGACGGTTCACAAACTTTTTAGGAACTTCAAAGAAGTTCCGAGGAATGGAAGGACTTCAGGGAAGCTTTTTGAACATTCGTGAGTGACTACCGACGGAGTCGGACGTGTGTGCTGTTGCTGGTTGGAGGAAAGTGTTCTGCGGAAGCCGGTCTGGTGATACGGGTTAGGAGGCGGTTTGTTTGTTGGTGGAGCGTTCACGAAGATCCAATAGAGTGTGGTGAAGATCCTTTGAAGACCGCTGTATTAAATGCGAGGAGGAGTCCATTGTCAGCGGTGAAAATTATTCAGCAAGAAGAATAAGAAGCAGGAACAAGCTGCAAGTGTGTGTCTGTGTTTGGCAAGGTGCAGAAGGGTAATCGGCAATCGGTAGTATGAGACGGCTCAACGACGGGCATACAGTGAGCAGGTGGATAAATAGGATAGTGTTGGAGGAGTGTTAGGAAATTAATTGAGATCCAAACGGCGTCATTGGCAGTGCAGTAAATATCAGAAGAAGAAGAAGAAAAGAAAAATCGTTATACGTGGCGAGAAAAAGCAGAAAAGCGGCAACCGAAAGTGCATGTGTGAGTGGCGTAGGGCAGGTTCATGTTCTCTTACAGAAGAAAAAGAAGCAGAAAAGAAGAGCTTAAAAATTTGTTTTGATCGGTGGCGGCTCTCGTGGTTCGAGTCATTTGGGAAATGAAGAAGAAAGGAAGGTGCATGAGAGAGAAAGAGGCAGAGAGAGAGAGAGCGAGAGCGAGAGCGAGAGCGAGAGCGGTTAGTTGGGGTGAGGGAAAACGCGATAGCCGATAGGGGGAGAGTGAGTGCCACAATGAAAAAGGCTATAGGCATTAGACAGTGATTCATCCTCTAATCTATGGGAGCTCTTCGAAACCACCGTTAAGTCATGGATTCCTTTGCAACATATCGGGTGAGATCTTTCCTTTATTGTTCTCTTAATAATGAATATTCCATTATTATATGACACATTATATGCTGGGTATGGGAGTGTCCAACCAGGGCTCCCGATTGAAGCGATTTGGATGGGGAGAGTGGAATTGCCAACTTCCTGTCGTTAACAGATCGTGAATTGAAGGCGGGCTCTTCTTCCCCACTCATTGGGACATCCCCTCGTGCGATGGCTTGTACATTACCGGGTTGTAGGATTTCATTGTTGGTAGGAGATTCTCATTGATCCCGCGGACTAAGCGGAAGTGTCTCTGCTTACAGGTTCGCCCTCCGTTTCTGGCTCTTCATACAATGGTAAATTGAATACAATCAGGTGTTGTACTTGATCAAGTCGTACGAGGTGGACAGTCCACTGTCTAATGTTTGTGCCTGCAACAATGAGTGGTTTCCTTTACACACATACATACATACATTCAGGGAAACTTTTTGAACGTTTCGTGGATAGAGGGCGGGCTCTTCTCTCCATATATTGGGACGTTTTTCCACACGATGGCTTGATTTGGTTTCTGGTTGTATGATCTTGCTTCTGGAAGGAGATTCTCTATCACTCCCGCGGGTATCGTGTAAGTGTCTCGGCTACGGGTCCGTCCCACCGTTTTTGGCCCATAATACAAGAGTATGATGAGCATGATAAGAAATCAAATTTTGATCAAGTCATGTAGTAACAACAGTTCATTTCTATGTGCAGGCGCCTTGTTTCAATAGATGGTAGTCTATCATCATCACCATCTCATCACCATCATGTAGGGAAGCTTTTATAACTTCAAGGCGACAAACTGAATTAACTTTAAAGAAGTTCTAAGAACTTCAGAACAGTGCAGAGAACTTTAGGAGCAATTATAACATGATATAAGCCTATCTTGATGACATTTTTCTTGTCGATAATTATTATAACATGTTATAACTCTGTAGTCTGAACGTACTATAATCGATAGTTTCGATTGATTCTGGACAGCCCCATGAATTTCAGGGAAAATTAAGAAGTTTTAGGGTAGTCCAGAAAACTATTGAGAAGTTTTGAAGTTTCCCACAACCTACGTTGGTTGTATTGGTTTTATCAGTTTTCGGTGAACCAAACAGTTAGCTTTGCATTGCCCGACGTTTCATTCGTTTATTGTGGAGCAATTCCCTACGAATTCGCAAATCGGTTTATTTTTAAATTTTTTGATTTGGTTGAAAATTTTTGGAATAGTTCCTTATGACCGACAATGCCATTTTGCATCTTCATATCGCCAATTTGAGTCCAGTTTTATTTTTGAAAAGAGTATATAGAAAAATATCAAGCTTATCTTCAGAAATTGTTTACTCGAAAACTGTTTGTCCGATCGGTTTTGTGTCTTCGGCAATATTGCAGGTAATAGATGAAACTATTTGAAAACAAACATGCACTCTAAAACAATTGGGTTCTTTAATTTTGAAAAATATATCCGTTTTTATATATCATCTGAAAGAGCTTCGTTTTCTGAGCACAGCGATATTTTTTTCGAACCCACACACTTTCATCTCGATTTTTAAATCAGGATTTAATGCATAATAATAACTTCACTGTTTGACACTAAACTGACAAACTGACAGCTCGCTCCCATACAAAGTGACACCGAGGGGCGCGAATAAGGTGATTTTTGCAAATGTAATCGAACTTATTAAAAATAGTTCCAGTGTACCAAAATTTATTAAATTTTGGGTTTGGGTTCCATTTTTAATGCAGATTACGAATATGCATTTACCTCAATACCCTTAAGGGGGTATTCCCGATCTTTTTTTTTCAAAAAATCAAATTTTTTTTTTCACGTTTTTTTGTACTTTAGACTATATACTTTCATCCCCCCAAGCCGTTTTCCGATCAGCGAATTCGGTGTCCAGGCATAGCTGACTAATGGTAAGAACCCCCAAATGGTTTTAACTAAAGTCAAAACTTTAAACGCGTTTTTCTCGAAACCACATTTTTTTATCGGGCGAAGATTTTTCTCATTTTGTTCCTTATTAAATTCTTTGGAGCTTCTCCCACTTTCAGCCAAAAATATTAACATTTAACATTGTTTGAAGCACCTTAAAGCTGCAAAAAAGCGGGCTAAAAATCGCCTGTTTTTTCATATGGCCGCCATTTTGTTAATTTGCAAGATTTTTTGCTGCCAACGGGAGAAGCTCCAGACAATCTTATGCAGATTATTAATTTCATCACGAAATCTGTTTCAGATGAAGCCGTTCCAGAGAAAAGTCTTCGCCCGTCCAGGCGTTTGCGGCGAACAGGGGTCTGTTTGCCGCCATTTTGTGACGTCAAAATGTCTTTTTTTATGTCGAAAAAAATTTATTTGTAAACTTTAATGTTCAATAAACAAGAATCCCAAAGAGTTAGGCGCATTACTATTCATTTTCCTTGAAAAAAAATTAATTGAAAAACAGGCCGAAAAAAGGCAAAAGATTGGGAATACCCCCTTAAAGAACCCAATTACCTAACCTTTTTTTTAAATTTCAAATAAAATCTTAAAAACATTTTTTTTCAAAAAAGGATTTTTGTATATTTTATTTGTTGATATGTTTTAGGGGACACAAAATGCCATTTATTGCACTATAGGTCAAGATGGAGAAATTATGGACAAAAAAGTTCTAATTTAAAAAAATATCAAAATCTTGGTTTAATTATTGTTTTGAAAGTACACCAAATTTACAATAAAAAAGCCCTCAAGTGATTTTTTTTCTAAGTCGCACCCTTTTCGAGATGTAGTGGTTTGAAAGTAGATATTTTTTAAATGTTGGTAGTTTTTGGCCATTTTTAAATCAAAGGTACTGAGAAATTAGAAAAAAAGACTTTCATAGATGTTTGAAGATGTTGTCAACAACCAGAACCTCAGAACAGAACCTGTTGACAGTGTCAACCAGAACCTCAGATCAGCTCAACTAACTTTAAAGAAAATGCTGACATTTTACAGGAAATCCAAGAAACTCAGGGAATTTCCAAAAACAATTTGCAAAGTTCCAAGATCTTTACCGGGCTCAAGGAACTTCAGAAAAGTTTTAAGATTTTTATGAACTTTGATTATTGTCAGGGATGTTCCTTCCTTGGTACAAGATCAGAGAACCGCAGAGCAGTTCCATTAATTAATGCTAGGAACTTCCAAGAAGTTCTGGTAAATTCTAAGAACTCTCAGGAATATTGCGAGGTCCTAAGGGAAGTTGTTCAGCCATTCCATAGCAAAACGATATAGTGGTTTTCAGAATTTCGTTAAAATTGGTCGTTTTGTTTCTCATCTCAAAATATTAGACCCGTATTTTGTTTTACTAGGGTAACCATTACCATCCTACAGTTCAATAACTTTTATATCATCTGAAAGAGCTTCGTTTTCTGCGCACAACGATATTTGTTTCAATCTCATAGACTTTCGTTTCGATGTTTAAATCAATATTTAAAGCAAAATAATAACTCGACTGTATGACACTAACCTAACAAATTTAAAGCTCGCTCCCATACAAAGTCGCACCGAGGGGCCCTAAGATGGTGATTTTTTGCTAATGTAATCGCACTTATTTAAAATAGTTTCAGTGCACCAAAATGTATGAAATTTTGGATTTCGGTGCCATTTTTAATGTAGTTGACGGATATGCATTTACCTCAATAACCCTAAAGAACCCAATTTCATAACATTCTGAGACCCTTTGGCCCAAGGCTGTTCGATAATAAAAAAAAGTCGTGGGTGAGGAAAAGAGGTTAGGTTTCGTGCACTACATTAAATAAGCTGCCTCCATAATCGCACATCAGTCCCTATATCTTCGCTTGATTTCCTATCCATTTGAGCCAGTTATGCGATTATGGGCACCGAATCGCATAATATAAACATCAGTTCCACAATTTCAACTTATCGTGTGCTTAAATTTAAGCTCCATTGGAACGAAAAAGTTCGCCGTCCCGCTTCCCCGAATCAACCGATCTCATAAATATTCCATCTCGCACCATCTGCTTCCTCACCTTTTATATCCATACGGAAACACAAAGTTGCTAATCCTAGATAAAAAGAAAGTTCCCACTCTCATTCTTCTCATTACAGAAATATTTGCCTGACGACTTCGAGGGCGTGGGAATCTGCGCCATAAATCTCGTCGACGACATGCAGGAGTACATGCGGGGATTATTCGTCATTATGTGAGTATCTTCCTCCTTTTCCCCTTATTCCGCTTGTTGGATTTCCGCCGATTGTGCGACGGAAGTTGAGGAGGCCTACCCGATTACGTATCGCATGGAGAAAACTTTGCGCCTTGCCTCCGTCCGTCCGTCCGTTCCGATAAAACGTTATTAAATTAATCAATAAGCCCAGTAGATGCGATGGCCTAGATGGCCTACTTGGACTTCATCATTCCTAAATTTAGCCATCGCATCCCTCGGAGCTCTCGATTTGCTTTAAATTTATTCAACATTAGATTAAGGTTAAGCCTTCTGGGCTTAGCTGTAGGGGGGAAAAAAGATAGAAAATCCTCGAGCAACGATGGAAGAACGAAAAACTCAATTTGAACCGTCGCAATATTCGTTGCCATCGGTCGAAATGATGATACATGGGCGCAGTGATGCCACATATATAGATTTATCTGTAATGGTATAGATTTTTTGACGACGTTCGATAAGGAGCTCAAAATACAGATGAACATTTGAAAAAAAAATATGGCATCACTGCATGGAAGGGAAGATCCGTATCAGACATCTTTGGTGAAAGAAACGACATCAAAAAAGAAAAAAAATACCAGAGAAGGATTGCGTTCCAAAGCCAATGAAACCAGTGGAATGTGGTTTGTCCTTTTTTTCCCGAATGTTGTTATCTTCATTCATCGATTTATTTGCATGGAACGGCAATCCAGCACCGGCAAATCCCGGTTCATTGGGTTGTGTGTGTTTACGCTTTCTTTGCCGCCTCCTGAGGCGAATCGGAGTTGGAAAGCTGTGTCAAATATCTACGACGAGATGATATTTGAGTAACTTTACATTTTTGTTTGTTTCCGTTCCGCCGAAGGCGACGATGATGATGGGAAAGTTAACCAATAGGTGTACCGAAAGGTGGTAATATCACTTGGAAATATGATTTTCGGCCTTAGGCTCTCGAAGGGCTTCCAAACAAGTTTTCAGGTGACGAGTAATCTAAGATGACTTTTGAATTCGCAACGTAATCAAGGTAAGCAGAATAATCAGAAGTTATCATGAGTAATCATTGGTAATCAACTAGTAATCACAGAAGAAATCATGAGTAATTCATGGTAATCATCAAGTAATCATGAGTAATCACCAGTAATCTTTGGAATCACTATGTAATCCGAGTAATTTTGACTGTAGTGGCAAGTAATCAATGTTGTTGGAAACTTATCGAGTCTCTGATTTCGCACTTTCTCGAAAACTACATTTCCACATCAGGAATTTAGAATCTCGGATGAAAACGCCTTAACTGTTTTTTTTAAACAACTATATTTACACTATTTACATTGCATACTGTTGCTCTCACATGATCAAACATGACATTCATGCGTTGGAAGCAAGGGGTGAGACAGATTTACTCCGAGTTGCTTTTTTGCAGCGAGTAACTCGTGAGTAACTCAATGTACCTCAATATTTAATCGACGTTCATTAATTCTTTTATTTTCTCTGCTTACTCCGTTTGCTCCCTTTAAGAATATGCTTCTCATTTTAGACGTCAGTTTTGTTTGTAAACAAAGTAAGCCCAAGTGTATCCTGAGGCTTTCGACTAGCTTGAATATTATGGAAGAACATGTGCCGGTGCCTGCTTACTACCAGCAAGAACTTGCAGTTCCAACCAGCTTTCATCCAAGGGGTAGGTCACTCCGCACACCAATCTTGGGTCATCTTTTTTGTCAGTGTGCCACAAGTATGCCGATTGTGCCGGTCATAGAGCAAGCTGCGATTGTTTGTAAAATACCCATTCCGGCAACCCGGTATTTCTGACACCTTGAAATCGCAAGGATAAATCGCGGGAAGTGGCGGGTGTGTGAACATTCGGTGTTTTGTGATCCATAGGGTAATAAAAGTCCTGTTTTTTAGTGTTTTATAATGCCCTTAAAGGCAGATCAGAAATCTAGCCTTTCGGCCGGAAAGAGTTGGAACAGGTGGGGAGCATTGTTAGAAGCCCACTATAGAGGGTGATGAATAGACTTCTTTAGTTTGTTTTGTGTGATTTGCAGCATTATTTGAATTAAGGGTACTAATGAGGTCTGATTAACTGCCTCTTCCTCTTGAGTCCACTCTAGAACCTACATTTCGTATTTAGATCTATAAGTGAAGTGCTGGTCTGAGTTCTTCTGGTATATTCAATAAGAACATTTTCCTGAACATACAGTCAAACAGCACGTAATGTTCTGAACAACTTCAATGACAGTTGTCCAGCAGTGCTCCTATTTTATTTACAACAATCTAATGCCTCCTAGATTGTGCCGAAGGTATACCGAAAATGTGCCCAAGCTGTGTAGAATATAATTCCGGCACAATGTGCTGAGTGATTTACCCCTTGCTTTCATCAGTTGTTCTTGCTACCCAGTGGTCACTTCAAAAGCATTATCGCTGATCAAACAATAATGCTACGATCCCATCAGCATCGATTGATCCAGTAGTCGTAACAGCAGTCCCATTGAAAATGGTAATTACTAACTCCGATCCCATTCTCGTTAGCGCAAGTTAGCTACAGCGCGAAGATTCGATCACAGCACATCAAACATAGCGTGGTGAGTAATATTCCAACCGTGGCCCCTCCAATAAAATCCGCAACTACAGATTGCGATTTAGAAAACATCTCCCCGGTGGGGCAACAACCGATTAACACCCAATTCCAGCTCCGACGGCAACGCTCCCAACCATTACCCCCGTGGAATGTTCAGCCAGACCAGCCGCCGTCATTTTCGAAGCCGAAGAGGAAGAGGGCGTTGAAGTAACCGCTACCAATGTTTCCGGTGAGTGTGATCCTCGTTCGGACTTCAAACCCATCAACGATCAACCGGACGAAATCGATGTGAAAACCAGTCAGAAAGACGAAGAACAAATCAAGCAGACAGATTATCTTCGTCGACTTTCTCTTTGCATTCTCACGGCCTTGTTAAGACCAAGTACAGGATCGTCATGAGACGTGATCAAGTTCACAAGACCGCTACCAATCACTCGATAACATCAACGCTGTCCATACAACAGATGGAGACGAACAACAAATTCTACACCTGGGCCGCTATGGCCTTAGCCAACGAGAAACCGAAGAACTCACGTATGTAGTGATGTTCTACTTTAAAGGAGACTACCGTCGATGGCCGCAGCAAAATCACGGTGGTGTATCGCAGAAACGGGACCGTATCACGATCATCCGGAAGGCACAGCAGAAGCACCAAAAGAGGAAGGATAGATGTCTACCGTCAGTAGAATGGCAATTCAGACCTCGGTTCCAAGTTTCATCCAGCGACAGTGTGCCAAGCCATGGGAACGAGATTGCTTCGACGAGTATTGTAGTACGTGCGGGGTACGTAATTTGCCGGATTTCGAAGTTTATTAAGCAGACATGATGCAGGATAATCAAATCAATTAATTTTCGCTGAGTTATTGAGTTCTGTAAAGATGTTTATTTTTTAATGGTGGTTTGATTGACAGCAGCTTTTCGGCTTTGCAAGAAGGTGGTGCACCTTCATATGTTGCTGTGATTCGAAAAGTGAGAAAGCAAATGACAGTGATCTTTCTCACTGAGCAATGTGAGTTACTCGAGGTGCATCAAAAGTAATTCAGAAATTCCTTATGATTAGGAGCTGTCTTGCCCCTAGGTTGGAAGCTCACTCTTAACTTTATAATTACCATTAATGAGTACAATTTCACCCATTTTAAAGTAAAGTAGGTTTACCTATTAACAGGGCTGGTAGCGAGTCACTTTTTAGTGACTTGGTCACTTTTTTTAAGCCAGTCACTAAAAAGTCTCTTTTTTTAAGGCCAAGTCACTAAAGTCACTTTTTCTTGTAATAAGTCACTATTTCAAACTTTTTTAAACGTGAATTTATTTCAAGATTGATCATTCTTCTGGATAGGCCTATATTTTGTTCTATTTTTGAACAATTCGAAGTTTACGACCTGATATAGATTTTTTACGTTTAATCGTTCTTCTCTATCTACAGGGTGTCCATTCATTTGGCTAAATAAAGTTCCCTGAGTTTTCAAGGTTTTTTTTTCCATAATAAGAATGCTATTTTTGAAATGCGTGAAAAATATGTTTTTAACGCAAACGTTTTTAAGACATAACAATCAGTTTTAAAGAAACGGCTTGAGCTCAAATCCATTAAATTTTGAAGTTGAATACTTACTTAATTTCAGTAAGTCTAAGATTGCAACATTTTTAATGTCTTGACTTTTCGTACTATCAAAAATGTGGAAACTTTAATGAAGTTCTATTGATCTAAAAAAAAGCTAGATTTAGAGATCCTTGGGGAATTCCAGAGATCTTAAGGGGAAGTCCCCCGAACTTTAGCCCAGACTATTGAATTGGTTTAAAAATCAAATTCAGGATAGTTCCATGAGATGCTGAAATAAAATCGAGAACCCTTAAGATGTTCCGAGAGATTCAGTAAAGAGACCTTCAGAAATATTTTAGGAAGTTCACAGAAATTCAGAGAATTCCTGGGAAATTTAAAGGTGTTAGCGAGAATTCCATTTATTTTAAAGCACAACTGAGATCTTCATTAGAGTTGAGAGTTTTAGGGAAGCTCCGAGAACATGAAAACAGATTAGAGCATTAAAGGGCCGTTCAGAAAATTTCAAGGAAATTTCAGAAACGCAATAAAAATTATATTCCGGAAAATGTGAGAGAGAAATTTCAAGATCTATAGAAAATTCGAAAATTTAGCTAAGTTGATTAGAGAACATCAACGAAGTACCATTAATTAAAAAAAGGTGAGTACTATTAGCAAACACCGATATTTTCAAGAAATTCTAGAGAACCTTATGAAATTTAGATATTTTTGATTGTTTCATTATATTCAGTGAAGTTCCGAGTACACTCAGGTCTTTTTTTACACGGGGGATATGTACCGTGTAAAAAACATCACATCACTGTCAAATAATTTTCTTCATTCGTGGCTTTTTCGAACAGCTCGAACAAAGTAATCAGAGTAATTTTGACGGTAGTG